GCCCGCGGCCACCACTTCCTGAGAGCCGGGGATACCCCTCCCGAACGTCACGGAGGAGCCGAGGCGGCGGTGGCGGCCCCGGGCTCATCCTGCACTTGCATCACGGGTGCAACAGCAGCTGCTCTGCTCCTTTGTGGCTTTTTCCCCTGTTGAGTAACTGCTTTGTTAACTGAAAATACCATGACGGGCCAAGTGTGATCACCAGCTTCAGACCTCAAAGAAAGTGAAGCTGTCAGGCAAGAAGAGGGAGACTCCCTTCGCCGGCTGCGATGGTATCTGGTGGGTGGGTGTGTAGAGAAGCACTTGACAATTTCCACGTATTACTTCTTGCCTAACTCTTCACCCCCAAGAAGGTTTAAAAATACTTTTATTTCCATGCAGTAGAAATTTCATGTGTTCTGCACCCCACCCGTTCCCCCTTCAATTTAAAATCTCACGCCGAATTGGAATCACACTAAAGCAGGAACCCTAAAATTAGGCACAGTTTTTAGGAAACGGGACATCTTTCAACGGATTTATTTAATAAGCTCCGTTTTCTAAATGTTAATATATAAAAAAGGTTCTTGCCCACTCAAGGTAGTTATAAAACAACTAACCAAGTTTGTTCTTATGAATTGGGCTCCTTCAGTTTTAACCCTGTATTTTTGTTTACCTTGAATTAAAAATAATTCTATTCCTTGCTGAATATCTCCAGGTAAAGCATTTCTCTCTGAGTAAGTGTTATCTTTCTGGACATCTGTGTTGGTTAATTTTGTGCTTCCCTGACCCCCATGGTCACTAATCTTTGTTCCTTGATGACTGTTAGGCTTAGGGCTGTTGTCTGATTGCCCTGAACCAATCAGCTGGTGTAGGGCTTCTCTGAGGAGGAAACTGGACTGACTGTTGGAGGATTCCAGTGGTCATTGATAAGTGGTAACATTTTTGCACTGAAATGGAAAGTCTTGGAAGCAGAGACAAGGCTCTGTTACAAAATGGGACACCATCCCCTGCTTAGTCCTAGGTCCCTAAACATATGCAAGTCTTTAGGAAACCTCAAATGGAATGAATCATTCTCTTTTCTTTAAAAAAAAATTTTTTTTATTGATTTCAGAGAGGAAGGGAGAGGGAGAGAGATAGAAACATCAATGATGAGAGAGAATCATTGATCAGCTGCCTCCTGCATGATCCCCACTGGGGCCTGAGCCCACAACCCGGCCATTGACCAGAATTGAACCTGGGACCCTTCGGTCCACAGGCTGACACTCTATCCACTGAGCTGAATCATCCTCTTTTCAAGTTAATACGTGTTCTATAACTTTTCAAAAATCTGATTTACTAGAAGTCAGGGGTAATATTCTATAAGGCATATGTATGACTATTTCAGTAATCTAAATTACCTTTTGGATGACTTTTTTTTATTAAAGGAAAGTCATTACTTTATAAAGCTCTCATTTTAGGAAATCAAGTAGAATAAGACTACCTTAATCTACAAAATGTTGAAAACTTACCTGGTTTTGCCTTTTTTCTAGAAGCGGGACATTTATGCCTGGCCTAAGCAATGAAAGTAGTTAGTTTCTGCTTTCATAATACTTATGGCAGGCAATTTGCTAAAGGCTCTTTCGATGAAGTAACTATTACAAATTCACTGGATAATTAACTTTCATTTTGTTTTGATTTTATAAGTATAATCTATCTGCAAGAACGAAAGTGCTCTTTCTCTTAGACAATAAAATATGAAAATTTGGGGAAATTTATTATGTGTGATAGAAAGCAATTGCTTTAACAAAGTGGGACTTACTTGCTTTAAATGCTCTTCTGATTAAGCAATGACATATAATCTTGTTGATTTTGCTAATAGGTAAAGAATGATGAGTCTTATTATGCAAAGATTGGGTGAAGAAAGGTAAAATAAAAATTTCAAGCCAGAAGTTAACTAAGGTGAATATAGGAAGAAAAGTTAAAAAAAAAATTGTGTGTAACTTAAGTTTTCTAGAATCAGTGTAGAAATTCTAAATTGTATTTAAGAAATGTATATACAATTTAGTAACCTGAGCTACATTGACTTATATACTTAAGTGTATGGGACTCAGGTACGTGGGACTACTACAGTAGCCTATCTGACCTACCCATATACCATCCCTTCTTTACCAACTCTATTATCTCCAGATTAATCTTCCTAAAATATAGCTTTTGTTATATAACTCTCTTGCTCAAAAAGTCTTCAGCAGTTGGATCTTATCTCTACCATAAAACACGAAAGCCTCTACATTGTGGCCTCTTAATTTCCACAGGATTCTTCTGTTCTAGTCAAACTGATATCTTCACTGTTCTTCAAACATCCTTTTACCCTTCCACATTTATTCATAGTTTTCCTTTTTATGGCATTTCCTTCTTCCCCTTCTCTGCTTATTGAAATTTTTCCCTTCCTCTAAAATTAGCTCAAGAAAATTAGCTCAGGTTGTGCTTTAGTCTTTCATAAAATTCTTACTTTACTGCCTTGTTTTTGTGCTCTTGTGTTCATTGCTTATTCCCCTGTCAAACTATAAGCTTCAGAAGCATGCCTCACACATCTTTGAGACTTCTGTGGCAACTCAGTTTAACATAGATAGTAAATATTCCCCCATTTAAATTTGAATTAATAATATAAGTAACAAGTTGTATGAATGGGTGTCTTGGCATGAATGGATGTATATGAGGTTATACATTAGTTGTTTTCTTTACCTGAACTTCCGATGCTCGTGTTTGAACATACCTTGTCAAGGTGCCTGCCACAAGTCCAGACAGCTGCATGGTGATACAAGGAAATTGCAGTTTGGCTTATATCTGTAATATCTGCGTAGGAAGATTTGCTATGATTTTTTTTTTTTCCTGGTAGACTTTTGGTTTGACTCTCATTCTACCCACTTTCCTCTATTTGC